AGAGAGAGAGACAGAGAGAGACAGAGATTTAATTAATGTTGCGAGATTAAGAAAGGTTGCGCGCGATTTTGCAATATGTCGCCAGTGATATGTTTTTGCATGTTACGTGAAGGACGTTGCTGGTATTATCAGTATGATTTGTTTGTCGAACTCTGTTTTAATTTTATATCGCGGAAGATGAAATGTAAATGTAAATATTCTTTCAATCTATCTGCTCATCTCTCACATAAGTATCTCTGTTTAAGTATCTTTATATAATTGTCTTTTCTCTCCTAAATTTTTGTACAAACTGTTTTTACATAATTTTTTTTATATATTATGTAAGTTTAGCTATTACTGTATTTTTGTAAGACGTAACGCATATAATAATCATGGCTCTTTCATTATATTATTATCACAGAGACATATTGTATATGAAATATACATTGTGTGTGAAATTTGCTATTGCATTGAGGATCATCGTATGTATATGGAATCCTGAATGTAATTTCCGATTATATGTAACGGTGTGACGGAGCTTTCTTTCTTTCCGGTCATAAAGTGTATTATGGGTTCATAAGCAATTTCTCTGAGTGTCTGCTTCAAAAACATATTTATCGGAAAGAATATTTTTTTTACTTTTATCATTTTTGTAATAAATCACATATTTTTAGAAATACTTTTGCATATCATCAAAATTATATAAAAATTCTATCAGATAATGACCGTAAGAGTATATATAAACAGAGAGAATAAAAGTATTTTAAGAAGATTGTATATTTATCTAATCTCTCATAATATATTATGTCATGAGTATAATGATAATCAATTGCACAATGCAACTAAAAGTACAATTTTTTATAGAATAACAAAATGGAGACAGTATTGAATAAAAATCTGCAACCGATTCGTTTGCAAAGAAATAAGCAATACGTAGATGTTATACGTAATGTAAATTCTTGGGCAAGCAAAAGCAATCTTTTCATGTATTTGAAATTTAATGGCAATTTGCTCTCTGATGCACCATCATTCTGTGTTAAAAAGCGAGTATATAGTTTTAGTTTTAAGCATTATACTATAATAATTTACATTACAAATTATTTACGATAAATTAGACAACAGATTATTATGATAAATCTTGTTATTTCTTGTAATTTGTAAAAAGTACTGAATTTTATTAGCATCAATTATTCTATAAGTGAACTGGATTTGTTCAGTCCTATTATATTCTATACCCGCTACCCGCTCCTATATTTTTATAAATAAGTTATATCTTTTAAACAGATGTAATAATAAAGATAATCTAACATCCATAATATCGGTGTTGTTTTGTGTGTTTTTACCTTATCTTTATCCTCTTTCACGTTTTATCTTTTATGCCATTTTACAAAATTATTTTATAATTTACATGCAATATTATAGAATTATTAATAAATTATAATAAAAAATATTTAATGTAATAATTTTATATTCTTGTATTTATAATAACTTTTTCAAAATAGTTTTAATAATTTATGAAATATATAACTTAATATAAGAATAAATAATTATTTCTGGTCGAAATAAAATAAGTTTTAACTATTTAAAAAATTTTTTTATTAGGAGTAAAGTAAAAGCCTTATGCTCGGTCTAGACCCAAGATCTATAGAGAGAAGGTTACCTCATACGCAAAGAGGAACGAACGGTAAAAGGGGCAAATGCAGAGAGGGGCGAGCGGCAAGAGGGGCAAATGCAGAGAAGGGCGAGTGGCAAAAGGGGCAATGATGATGTCATCTGCGAGCAGAAGCTATCTCAGATAGCTACTGTTGGCAGATGAGATCATCATGCTCTCCCCTTCCTTCATCGCCCCTCAAGCTGTTTCTAGCTCCCCCCTTCCTTCATTGTCCCTCGCCAACAACCGGTTTTACTGAGGTAACCTTCTCTCTACTCTCTATAAATCTTGGTCTAGACAAGATAATTTGCAATATATGTAATTTATAGCGCCTTTTTAATTTACTTTTCAATTTTTATTACGCAATTTCCAGTGCTATCAATATTTTACAAAATAAAAGTATTTTTTCGATAAAAACTCAAAGCATTTCTATATTAAAGGAGCGAGAGAGAAAACACTAAAGCGTGCGAGAGAGACAGCTACTGTTTGACGATGAGATCATCATTGCCCCTCTTGCCACTCGCTCCGCTCAGCATTTGCCCCTCTTGCCGCTTGTCCCGCACAGCAATAGCTTCTCTTGCATCTCGTCCCTCTTTGCGCATGAGGTAACCTTCTCTCTATAGATCTTGGGTCTAGACCGGAGGATGAGCCACAAGTAGGTTCATCCAGAGAGAAGACAGAGTGGACATGCCCGCATTTTACGTGTTTCTGTCCGCTAGCGTCTCTATTAAATTTTAAAACTTAATTTTTAATTAAAACTTTGTGCGGTGCACAATTTGCACACTTGCTTGCGGCGGTTCATGACTATAGTCCTCTCAAATTATAAATGAAAAATTGTTTTTACTGTCTAGCTTGCATTCGTGTTTAATATGCGAGTATTTTTTCATCTATTAGAATTTACGTGTAAACGCCCAACCCGGGCTTTTAATATTCAAAATAAGTTATTCGTCCCCATACAGCACAGAACATTGCAATTACATTGCAGCAATGTTACAATCTTGCAAGTTGCAATGTAATATTGTTGAGACATTATTGCAACTTGTAATTGTAATATTTCATGAGAATGTGACAGCAACATTCCAATAACATTGCAATAGCAATATTCGGTAATCGCTAGTTCGGTCGTTCACCGCTATGCAACGCGCGTTGCAAAATCTATCTCGTATTTAAGTTTTAGTCATGATGATTATGGGTGTTTACGATAATTCAAGTTCGAGTTAGTTTTACTAGGGCCGAAAAATGAGATAGACATAACCATCTAGAACCTTTTATGATTCATGACAACTCGACGCTGTCTTGTACTGCTTGAGTTAAATTCATTGAATTTATTGAGCAAATTTTATTGTAATAGAAAAATGTCATTTATTATTATTATTAATTATATTATTATTAATTTATTAAAGAGGTATACCAAAACATACATACCAACATTATTTGTTTCTTTCATAGACTGATTTGCAGTTGACATTTTTCTATTACAATAAAATTTGCTCAATAAACTCAACAAATTCAATGAATTTAACTCAAGCAATACAAGACAGCGTCGAGTTGTCATAAATCATAAAGGTTCTAGATGGTTATGTCTATCTCATTTTTCGGTCCTAGTAAAACTAACTCGAACTTGAATTATCGTAATCACCCTATATGAAACTTGCAAAGAGTAGTTAGTAAGATTAAAGACATAGTAATTATTTTTATCAGTTTAATTTTTCTGATACAACCTCAACACAGACAATTCAGATATTGAACTGATTGTTCAAAAATCGGACAGATAAATGTCCGAATAAATAAAAATATATGCAACATTATTCTAAGATTGCAATAACAATGCATTATTGCAAATTCATTACATTGCAATATTACTGTAATATTTCGTTGCAATCTTCCTAAAAGCGGACATTTTAACGTTGCTGCAATCCCACAGCAATGATGCAACAACATTTTGCAGTGAATTTGCAATATTGCAACATTGCGATGAAAGATTGATGCAATGTGTATGCAATCTTTGTGTGCTGTATGGGTCATTACTGTATGAAATATCTATAAGAGTTTATCATCTTTTTAAATCATACATCTTTCAACAAATTGAATTCGTTAGTGTAACTATTTTAAAAAAATAATAACAGTAATAAATTAAATTTATTGAAAAATGTATGATTATTTTATCCAGTACTGTATAACATAAAATTTCCAAGGAGAACAGAAGTCAAAATAATGTTATTTGATATCTTGTTGATCAAAAAATGACAAAAACCGTCATTTTTACATCATTTTTGCCATAAACAATGTCAAATTGACATTTTGATTTTCTGTTTTCCTTGGTATATACTTGGTATAAATTTGTATATACTACAAATTGATTTATTGTATACACAACAATTACAAATAAACGGAATTATTTGCATCTTATCTTCTATAAATATTTTTATTTGCTATTCTACGTTTATATATATATATTTGTTTTTATATTTGTTTGTATGTACTTTTATTGTGTTTTTTTATGTGCCATAATAATTTTAATAATTTAATTACTTTTTTTATATATATTAATATATTAATTTCTATATAAGCATGAAGTATCGTACTGAGATAAAATTGTTTTTAATTATTTTATTGCACTAATGTCAGTTACAACAGAAAATAAATATATTAGTTATTGTATATATTCAAAATAAAGGGCCACGAACGTCACATCCGCTTTTACACTAAAATGGCGACAGTTCTGCCGATCTCTCTTTTAAGGATTTCTAGACGCTCCATCCTCAGATGTCCAGACTCTTATTATAGGGTCTCTAGAAACACGTAAAATGCGGGCATGTCCACTCTCAGTCTTCTCTCTGGTTTATCCTCCGGTCTAGACCGCGCATTATGCTGGATTCACACTAGGTCCGATTTCCGACGTACGATGTCCGATATCTAATAGGAGAGTTTGTTTTATATAAATAGGAGAGTTTATATAAATAGGAGAGTTTGTTTTATATAAAACAAACTCTCCTATTGGATATCAGACATCGTATGTCGGAAATCAGACCCAATGTGAATCCGGCATATGTAGTTCGATATTTCAAAGCGACATCAACGGATAAGAGTTGCATTAATGTATCATCTGTGACAAGAACGGACCAGACTGAACTAGAGTTTGAAATTTGAAGAACATGATTCGAAATGTTATTTGCGACTGGTTTACATTAATGGAAATCAGTTGATTTTAGCACAATCGTACGATGTAGACCGTATAACAACAAAAGTGTTACTCATCTGAGTGATAGCAGGAAAAAAGTACTGTTCCGAAAATACGAAAGTGTCAGCATTACGATATATATTGCAAATTTTCTAAATTTTCAACACAATTGGACTCGTCGACTTAACGATTTTGTCTACTTTATTGTGGTAAGAAGTGTGATATGAATCAGAAGTTTCTTGATCATTTACTTCGGACAATGGGTTTGAATAATTCTTTTAGGGCAATCGTTATAACCTCAATCTTACATTATCTAAACATTTTAGTTATTTGTTGTTATGAAGATATTAGTTAAATATATAAAAGAGTATGTTTAATAATATATTAAATATTTATAGAATTTTATTTGTGTGTGTATGCAGGTGTAAATTTCTTAACAAAAATTTCTGTTTGCCAATTCAAGATAATGAAAGTGAAAATTATGGAAACAGTCTTTAGTAGGATTTTACCAATTACCACACAAAGCAACGATTGAATTATAAATACGTCGAGGAAACATGTGCAGATGTTACAGAATACTATTAGGTGGATGACAGGTTCTTCAAGGATGGATCCTAATAAAAAATCAGGAGCAGTTAACAGCAATCAGAGCACAGTTGCACAGTCTGAAAGCTCTGATTCTATAGAGGTACATATTAGACATTATATAAAATTGAATCATTTTTAATGTTTATTGATACACTTATTGCTATTGTTTAATTAATTGTGCAATTTTCAATAATGTATCGATTACAGGTAGACAATTCACGTACAGTTCTGTTAAAAATAGCAACATTATATGCGGAGCGTCTTATGAATGATATCTGTTTAATTGTGGATGGTGTGGAATATCCAGCACATCGACTTATACTGTGTGCTTCTAGTGATGTTTTCCAAGTAGGTACAGAGGGTGTCCCAGTTTTCTCCAGCCAAACTTTGTCAGTATGTTTTATGGATATAAGTAAGAAAAGAATGTTATATACAGACGTAGGTCATTTGAAGTTTTATTAAAAAGCTTTAACAAAAATACGAAATAAAAAGGGAATGGTAATGGACTTGCGATTATTATGATACAAAGTAAGAATAGATTAGCGATGTTTACAACTAGTCTGTTTATGTGAGCTGTATTTATTATCTGAAGTCGGTGAAGGTGTTGAATGTAACCTCTGTCATTAGTAAGTGTTGAGCTTCATACCAAAATGCTTCATAGAATAATAAATTCAGTTTTTTATCACTGTCAGTCTTGTATTGACAAGAACGGTGAACATTTTTAAATTGAGTATTAATAAACCAGTGATTACATTGATTGTTAACTTATTCTTGTCTTGTATCATAGTAACCAAGCAAATTCATTATTGTTTCCTTTGTATTTTGTATTTTTGTTATAACTTTTTAATAAAGCTTCAAACGACCATTGTTTATATAATATATTTTTTTTATTTATATCCATAGGACATACTGATAAAGTTTGGCCGGAAAAAACTGGGACACCCTGTATATTTTTTCTATATTTGAGAATAATAAAGATTTAGTATAGAATGCTTAATGTTTATTGATTTCAGGTGATGTTGATGAGTCCACAATGGAGTGAATCTCAGGAAAGCAGGGTAACACTCCAGGAAACGCCTCAGTGTGCACCAATATTCAGCGAGTTTTTGCGTTATTTTTACACTGGCCAGATAAGAATAAATCATAGCGTTGTTCTACCAATATTATCTCTAGCTGATAAGTACAATGTCAAAGATTTGATATCATTGTGCCTTGACTACATGCGAAATCATATCGCACTAGCTGCCATACATGGCACTTTGGTATCATGGCTGCAGTACACATTAAATTGTGGTCATCATGACATTAGCCAAGCGTGTCAAAATTTTATCAAATGGAATTTGGAGCTTGTAGCCAAGACTGCGGATTTTGGGAACTTTGATTTAGATATCTTGGTGTCATTGTTGCATCAAAGTAGTTTAGTCATAAAGGATGAGATGACACTCTACAAGTGCCTAGAATCTTGGTTAGATCATCAGGCAAACCGATTGAAAACACAGCTTTCACTTGACGAATTTGAAGCAACGTTGCATCAGTTGGTAATAGCAGTGATGTCACCTGTTAGATTTCCAATGATGTCGCCGCGACAATTGGCGGATTTGTTGCTATCACCTTTAACGAAAAAATATAAAGAATTTTTTGTGGAACGTATGTCGATTGGCATGTCCTTCCACTCGGGTCAACTCGACAGAGTAAGAGAAGTAAGCCAAAACGAAGAGGACGGCGCATTGCTATTCGAGCCGAGACTGTATACTGTTGACACATGCAGTTCGCTACTTACCATAGAAAACTTCCACAGTCTGCCATCTTATCACACGAGGACGCTTGTGTTTTCCAGTCACTCCAGTTTAGCGGAATACGCGGGCGATAGAGCGTGCGAGTGGGTGGTGGACATTTATCCTAAAGGCGTGTGGTTCAAGAAATTTTTCCTCATAGTGTGGCAAGGCACGGTAGAAATGCCTGAACACGTTAAGCGATCGGTAAGATTGTCATTGACATGCAAAGAGCCAGCGGCGAAAAGTAACATGCGCGTAAAAATCGGCGTTTTAATTTACGGCTTGCAAGATGGTGTTGAGCACATTGCGAGAGTTACAGAGATTATTCACAGATTCAGTAAACAAGATCGCGTTTTAAATCTGGATAATCTTTTGCCGTTTGAGGAACTCAATCCACAACAGGGTTCCGTACCGGAAAATGCAGTGTCTCCCTTTTTAGTGGGCCCCAGCAAAGACATGCTCAAATTACACATTGTTATATCACCAGCCAAATAGTGTTTATAAGAAAAGTTTAAGACATTAATTTATGATGAATATTTAATGAATGTTAAAAGAAAAATGTTATTTGTGTTCTACGTTTGTACAAGAATTTGTATAATAGTACTGTAAATTTTATTTTTCGAAATATTTCCTACAATTAATATTTATTTTTTTTTACTCAGATAGAAAGATATATTTTTTTTTAACACGTATATGAATTAAGTATATAAAACATTAAAGTGTTATAGAACGTTTAACATATAATTATCTGTATGTATATTCTTAAGGTATTTTTTTTTAATTTTTAAGATTTATCTAAATTTAACCGAAGCGTTAACGTAATACAAAATACTACCCTAATGAAGTATATTACATTGCGAATGTAACATATTAAAAGTAATATATAGCAGCAAAAAAACGTAATAACTCTTGCTACCATGCTAAAAGTTAGATTCTTTATATTTACATAATCTCTTATTTGTACGATTTTGTCTAATGTCTGTAAGTCATGAGATTGTATCCTGTACATAAGCTAGATACGAACATTATTTTGGTCATTAATTATCTGAAGAGGTTATATGTGACATGCAAAATGTGCGCGCACTTTATGGGTAGATACATAGTTAATATATAGTTAATACATAGTTAATAGTCTTGTGTATTGTCTGATTCAAACCGACATTACATTTTTGTAATGAAATGTGAAATTATTAATAATGTCTGAAAAAAAGAAGGTAAAATCTTTCTTAAGGTAGAGGAAGGTGGGGTAAGACAGACCCCCTAAGCAAAAATGGTTATATTTTTTTATATTAATGACACAAAATAACTAAATTTTAGCATAAATAAATTTTAGAATGTTTATTATAAGATCATAATATTAAATTTTCAAATATTAAATTTTCAATTTTCTTGTAAAAGTTTAAATTATTATTAAGATTTCTATAAAATTTAATTTTAATCCGTTTCACCTCATAATGAGATAAAATGGACTAAAATGAGATAATATGGATCAACAAATAATTTAACTCAGAGCCAATGCTGCCAGAAACGAGCGGCGGCATCACACTAATACAATCGAGAACCGATGACGTCACCCTATCCGTGTGAGCTCGACCCGGTCGACCAATGGAAGAGAACGCCGTCTCCCTTCCATCGAGCCGACGCAACAGACGATAAATGCTAAGAAGTAAGTGTTTCTAAGGCATGTGGCTGGAATATGAAAAATACCGTGTTCGAGATTTGCTTCTCGCAACTTTCTTTCTTTTTTCCGCATTTGTTTCTAACAGTGTAAATTATCAAATAATCTTTTTTTTGCTTAAAAAATAATAGTTTATATTTATTAATAATATTCGCATATGTTAAAACTAACAATTTTTGAAATAATTCAGATTTGCTATTGTCAATAGAAAAATGAAGTTATTTTGCAATATTGCAACAAAGTGTAAATTTAACATATACTATGTTCTTGCCATTCGCCTTATTCGTTTAGCCATGCTTGCTTTGGCATTTATGTCTATCGACTCGAAAGATTTTACATACCTGTAAAACTTTTAATTATTTCCCAACTTACAATTAGTCACTCGCGTCCTGATATTTTTTCTCCCGTTCAATAATTTTCTATTCGTACATTCGGAGAATCCAAATAGTGAGATCAATAATGTACTTAATTTTCGTACACTCTAGTATCTCAATCTGAGATCGGTGTACATTTTAACGTGTCAAATGTAGACGAATTATTTCTATATAAAAGATAATTAAAATTTTCACACCAACAATCTATGATATATGCTCCATATG